TATATATTTATATTAGACAGTGGATGCTGAAGTGCTAGGAACGACGCAAAACGTATGTAGAAGTACTGGCGAGCACCGCACAACAAGTGAATTGGATGAACAAAAATTATAATTGGACATATAGGAAACGATGTACCGTTTACTATTTGGCAGTAACAGTTTTCCCTAGTCTTCGTCACCTTAATATGGTACGTAGTTAAAGGCACAGCCTCTTATCTAAACAATTACTGCTCTGACTATACCTAAAGTACTGCCAGGCGCATAAGTGTCCGCCAATACTAAACACGTGAACGATACAATATAGGCTTGTTTGAACGGTGAGAAAAATGTGCCATGTCTCTCTAAATGGGAAATTCGCAATGTGATTCAGTCGGCAGACGCAACCCTCAACGAGGTGGGGGTGTTTGATGGAGAGTGCTTTATTGTTATATCCAGTGTAAACGCTCATGAATAAGCTGAAAAAGAAAAGAATAAGCTGAAACTGGTAAAACGAACCATATTTTCGCTTCCATCAAATCAAATGTAAACCGTATTTTCTGCAGAGCTGCATTTTTTTTTAAATGACTTGATGAATTAGCACAGAGCATATGTTAGACCAAACTTGATCACGAGAGGAGCCTTTGATGTCAAATAATTGTAACCACGTAGCAGTTGGAACAGACATTTTCCCCTTTTCTAGAACTCATTGCCCATTAAATCTAATATAAAATTCACTCTGAGGCATTAAGCTAGCAAACACGGTGCTGGCTAGCCGTCATGTATGGTAAAAGAAATAGTAACAACCTTTATGAGGAAATGCTTTAGAATAAGATTATTAAAAAATAAAAAAGAAAAACAAAAAAAATAAGTCAGAATAAAGAGTAAATTGTCTTTCGTTACTTATAATGAAATGTGTTTCTTCTGATGCTTTAAAGCCGGCAAAGCCGTCATCAGTACCGCCTTAAACAGTCATTTATCCATTGCCGGTTGTATTCCATGTGTCGTCATCCGAGTGGTCGAAAGATTCGCTGAATTGATTAAAGTAACTACAAATGCTTCAGTTAAACCCACAAACCGATCGGTTAAGCAGAAAGTGACCTAATCACGCCTATACTCGCAGTAGCCGGCGAAAAACGTCATTACGCAGGTAGGATAGTTTCGACACTTGCAGGATGTAACCTAAGAAAGCATTATGCGATTTTCGACCTTTCCTCGTTTACTTCCAGATAGTAGAAGTTACAGAACTTGCCATTCGCTCGTTTGGTAATAGAGCAATATCTCAGTAAGCAAAAAAAAAATAAATAAATAAAAGATGAGACATGGAGGGTAATGCGGAGCAGTACAATAGCAGTGGAAACCTAACCAATAAAAATAGTGTGTCATGAATTTTATAAAATTCCGTGTGCAGACCAGCATTTCGTCGAAGTGAACACGAAGACAACATATATGAGTGAAATATTTTTCACGAAGGCTAAGATTAGCGAACAAGCACATTCTCAATGATGAATGCGTGTGCTTTCAACGCCAATAAACAAAATAAACGTTGGTCTTATAATAAAGATAATATACATAAACACCTCAGACTCTCAACACCAACACCCCTTCAGTGCCAACGGAGACTACCTTAGAGTTGTTACCCTATAGATTTCTATAGGAAGTTCTTATATAGTAGAGATACTTGAAAACTACGAAACGTACAATAATAGAACCAAAACAAAAAGGTCGCCGGACCTAGAAAAACCATCATACAAAGCACGCACATGCTTGGCCTATAAGGCTAGCACGTTGCCATATTGTGAATCGTCCTTCTAACATCACTTATCATCACATCAATATTACAGTACAGCATTAAGATAGAAAGCACGTAAAATTTACTCAGGTTTACTAAAAATTACGATCCAGCTACTATTATTGTTGCTTGTATTTTTACAAACTTCTTGGTGTCACTGTCAATTTATCTAAGGCGCCAAGGTAATTATAAGATGGAATTAGATTTGTATCGAATTTAATCTGGGCCTAAGTTGTTTTTACTCTGTCCCGCAGTCGAATCCTCGCACCGACCGTTACGAACAGAAAAATTTTACTTATTTTTTTATGGTATTTGTATAGTTGAAAGACATCTTATCAGATTTTAGGAAGGGTACACACTGTTTGAAACATAAAGCGACATATGGTTTGGATGCGCAGAATAGGCAAACTAAACGATTGTATTCTGCAAGCTACTATTATCTTAATTATTATTTTATTGTAAATACTAGCTATGCTTCAGTATAGAGAAACTTCGAGGCAATATATATTCATCTAAAATGCTCGCAGCTCAGCCAGTATATAGCTGTTGTTTTAAAATAGTAGCATTATGTATCCAGCAATCGTTATATATTCACTATATATACTGTTATTTGGACATAGTAAATAAATTAACCAGCATAAGAATAGGAAAACGTATGTCCAAATGTATAAATAGTACGTTTTATTCATAGGTGAACGGCATCGTGGCGTACAACTGCTAAAAGCTAGAAGATAAGTACGACAGACACCCGTAGCTCAACATGCCCCATTTCGTCATTGATCGAATCACTTGAACGTCAAAATCTCAGCCTAGCCACCGGAAGATAAAGCGTCATATCCTCTCTATCCTAACTACAAGTCGCTGAGTGACCTTAGCCTTTGTTCACGTCACTATGTAATTATAAACCATATTCAGTTTACATAGAACTCAATAATTTAAAGGTAGCTATCAAGCAGCAGAAATAAGCTTGCGGGCATTTGCGAATCCTTAGTTTTGTTTCTTTCAAATGCGCGAATACGAAAGGTAACTGACCGTACTACAACGCTTCTTTTGCAAGATCTGTCATCGAATGTAAGTAAAAACTGATCGGGGTAACTGATCAGGCGGTTGCTTTACTCTACCTATATACGAATACATACGGTGGTCACATACATGGCGTGCTGCACGATCTATTATAAATGTATCTTAGAGGACGTTACGCATATGCTGGACACGCGCGGTTCCCAAACTCCCCATCTACTGTCGTCATCTTAATCTCTATAGATTTTCAATATTCATAGCAGCATTATAAAGAGAGCAAGCAAAACGAATCGCTATCTCCTTCCTACTTCTGACAAATCTGCAGCACTCTGGAACCCCTTTTCAGACTTCGCGAGGCCTCGGCCGTTCGGCCTGTACATATCAGCAAGGCAAGGGGAACACTTGGCAGGCAAAGCAGTTAGAAGTGAACAATGGCGTCAGTTGAAAATTCCCGGTCCGGTGCGCCCCCTTGCTTCTCTCTCTCTCTTTCTATCTGCCGTCGTTATACGCGCTATTCACCTATAAAAATATATTTCCGCTCAGTGAAAGGTAGGGGCAGCGAATAAAAGGCTAGCGATTGTCGGCCCTCAGTCTGCATTTTGGCTTTCAGCTTTCGCACACTGATAGCGGGCGACCACGGCTGATCTGCCTATCGGAATTACTTCGCGCGGACTTCTCAGTTCGAAATAGTGCAAAGCCTTAAGTAACAGAGGCTACCTTTTTTCTTTCTCCATCGTTCGACGTAGACATCGTCGCTGCTTTGGTGTGGCGAAAAGTAGCATCATGAAGCATCGCTTCGAAGTTGTCCCAGAAGCAGCAAGCACGGCCTAGCACAGAACATGGCCGACAAAACAGGACCGTCCATCGTTGGATTGGACATTAAACTAACCACACGCAGTATAGGCTCGATTATACAGTACAGATGTGATCAAAGGCACCGGCACTAATATATTTAGGGGTTCTGCTCATAAATGAATAACTATGAGTAAAAGTTTGCTTTTGTAACCAGGGGCTACAAAAATAGCTGGTCCACTTTTGAAAAGACACTGACTGATCTTCTAGCAGTCAGCCCTTGGCGATCTAACGCACGAGCACGCTTTCGTGGGGCCACATAGAAACAGCACTTGTTTCTTCAACAGATCAAGATATCATTTTCCCCCGGTACTTTTGTACAGGGCAGCTGCAATGCACGTGCTAATAAATATTAAACCACATCCGTCGTGTAGATCTGATTGAATAGAACACGGACGGCGTTCGGAGTAGTTTGTTACCCGTAGATACTGAAAAGTGGCCAGCGGCAATGATCTGCCTGAAACCAAATATGGGCTGACTTGCTTGAAATTACCATTAGATGCGTTTACATGCGTATACATACCAGTTAACAGAAATTGTGTTTTTTTGGCACAGCCTGCATTGGCAAGGATATATGGCTATCCAAAGGGAGATTTTTAATTGTTTAATAATTCATTTAAATGTTGATGCGATCTTTCTAATTATTCTAGAGCGCTGCAACCACAGGAAACACTCTGTCCGTACTGTAATAAACAGCGTTGCGGCTAGATAATTTGTCTGTCCTGCAATCCAATAACGTTGTCAATATGTTTGTACGATCATCAAGTGCTATAAAACTAATATAACGACCCTGCCAGGGGTAACAAAAATAAGCAATATTATCACGCACTGAATTAACTTAATATATTGCATCATGTAAAAAATGACAGCGACCGACAACAGGTTGTCTGGCCTTATAAGAACCATCATTCACTAGTTAGAATGGCGAATACGCTCTATTTTCGTCAATGTGGTGCTCTCGTATCTTTGCCGTACTGTTGTACGGTGAAAATATTCACAGAGTAGAATACCTTTGTAGAGAAAGTAGAATAATTGGTAAAAAAAAAAAAAAAAAGATACATTCGTGTGCTTTTTATTAAGTTTTGAATAAATCAATGTTATTTTTTTCAACGACAACAGTATAAAGACAAAACTTTTTCAATCAATTTCAAGTCCTGGAAGCGGCGCGCTTGTATGTTGTATAAATTAATAATACTTGCTCATAAACGTAGGCATCCATTGAAAAGGGAAGCTCCATTTCCTTGCGCATGCGCTCATGTGACATCGGTATGAAATCTGCTCTAAATTATCAATAAAAAAAAAATGATAGTACTGTAATATATCCTTTAGAAAACTAAAACGTTTCTATCTAAATAGGACTCGTTGGCGAACTGCTTGTTCGTCGAAAGTTACCGGTGAGTCTGTTGAGAAGAACCTTGGGTGCACGGGGAGACTCGTTATCTTCGGGACTTCCGAAGGGCAGGACTACTACATTCCATTCGAACCCGCCAAACGATAAAAAGGGCGACTCGATCCTGTTGGTGGAATATCGTACGAGCCCAAAGCAATAGATAAGTCAGCAGGTTCACGTTTGGGCGTCTAGTACATCGTAGTAAACTACGGCAAAACATTAAAAACTTTTGGTACCTTGGCACATATCCCTGCTATAGATGGTAATGCTATGTATATATATATATTAGTCGCGCAAGGAAACATCTTTCATTATGTCTGAAATCTTCTACCGACGATACTCTTTCGTGAGTAAAAGCGCCTGTTAGATAATAGACAGTACTTCTAAATAGACTTCTGGGAATAGGTGCACTGATAACTGAGTGGATCAAATATCTGTATCTACAAACGAAACTATAGTTGACAAGCTGACTGAATAGTTTGCCGTATGTGCAGAACCCAGTTCAGGTAGTGATATAAAGCCTGTGATTCCTCAGAGAAACACTTCGACGTTAAGTGTCAAGGACATAGTTAACTAGGGACCCCTGATAAATACGAAGTGAACATTTTGTAAAATCTTATTTAGGCTTGTGTGTAACGCAGTTAATATGGTTGAAATTGTTGCTTCACGTTTGATGAGCGTGAAATGGTTATATTTACAACTGCCGATCAATTTGGTCATCTGAGCACGATCGGAAACCTTCTGCTTTTAAATCCTTAACCCTACTCAATCTCGCGGGCGTACATACTCACTTAACAATGTGCTGCTGGTGCATAGTTGTTGTGTATCGTCGACCCTCATCGTGAGCTCCCACTCCGATTGAGTTGCCCATGTAATGAGGCGGAATCTGAATAGAAACGAACGAAATGAACACATCGTGTTAATGACAAACATAACAGCGTAACGTATACGCGTCTCAGAGAAACACATGAAAGCTCTTTGAAAGAAATTGTCGATTTACTTCCCTCCTGAAGAGGATCTGCGTGAAACTTCAACTTAGCCCCGAATCCCAAACTGCGTTTTAGAGCCAAAATCAACCAAATACGGTTACTATTTACTTTAACTAGTGTCTAGCAACCACCAATATATCACTAATCATTGCTGCTGTTCCTCTGTACTGAAGTTGAACACTTCATTTGAAAGAGGTACTCAGGTACGATGGCCGAACAGAAAAGGTTTCGAGACGTATTACATAGCATAATAGCATAATAAATTAAAGTAGAAATCACGCTGAGTTCAGGTCTCACACTGCATTTGTCTATTTTTTCAAATCTGTGACTTCAAGATATGGTCATATATTTACTTAGTGTCTCATCCGATGTTACCATTTGAGCGATATAAACCTTATTTATAAGGTTAACCACTGCAGTTCTCAAATGTTGCAAGACGTCACCCCGATCGTGTGAAACAATCACACACGCGTTGATATTATATATTATATAGACGTCGTTTAAGCCTGTCCTGCAATACAGGCATGGATAACGTGCGGCAGCGGACCCAAAGCGCTTTGGGAAACGTGTAAATATATTCTGCTCTCATAGGATCACAATATTTGTATTTTCGAAATTATGCACTTTCCACTGTCGAGCTTAGCCTTGGTGGGATATGAGAAATTTTTCGTAGAACTAAAGGTCAGACATAGAACATAGCAGCTTGCTGTATTGGTATAATAGGTTCACTACATGAAAACATTTTGCTTAAGTCCCAGTAAAAGGTTGTTTGGCAGAAATAATTAAACGTAGAACCTTCGTAATGCATTTCACGCATGTCCATATTAGCCCGTGGGGTGCTAAGCGCTCAAGCGTACCAGAAAAATGGATATCTAAAGAACTTAAAAAGCTACTAAGGTACGTTATCGGACGTGCGTTAGATATGCTTCTATATGAAATTATGACAGTGACGATTTTAATATTGCCCTCAATCTCTTTTCCCGTTTGCGTCCATGCCAAATCCTAATATAATCGTTGTTGACTTTGCTAACGCTGCTCTTGCTACTCCCTACTTCGGCCATTGTTTATGACAAAGGTAAAAAGGGGAGCCCTGCTGTAAGGTTGCAGTGTGGAGACTGCTCAAACACTATATACTGTTTGTTTTTTGCATCTCGGAAAAGTTCAACACGAAGTAGCATGCCCACGTGTACACACGCTGCCTCTCAATCTAAAACTAACCCTTGGCTCGATCGATGCGGTACTTTGAGCTCTTAGGTGTCGAAATTCTAATGGATACCGTGAACAAAATGTAGAAAAAGTGGACCGCGACAGAGTAGCAAAACAAGTAGATAGAGTGATACCCAAATACTGTAAAAGAAAAAAATTCAGACTTTAGAATGCAGCAAAGTACGAGTCATAAGAAAAGGTGTACCTTCCGTATGCGATATCCAGAGAAGACCTCAAAACGCGGTTGACGACGTCGGCACTCGAACACACACTTCGAAAACCACTAACAACAGCCTATACTACCCATATTCTGTTTACTGCTTTTTCTTAAAATTCATCTTGAATAATAATAATAATAAGAAACACCGTATTAGAATATGTACATATTCATATTTTAGACTCTTGTATTACGGCTAAATACTGTATGTAGTGTAAAAAGAGCTGGTCAGAGAATTTTTCCGGAAAATACGTCGGGCAGTGCACTGCAGTTCACTTTGCTTCTTACCTTGAACTAAACGTTTTAACTAGCATAGTCTTAATTAGTGGAAATGAATCGGCTTTAATCGGCCGAACTTGTCGACGAACTCTGTTGGGGTCGACCCAATTGATAGTAATAACAATAAACATCGTTATCATAAGTATGACCGGTTCTTTTTTTTCCAAGCTCTGATTTTTTCGGTTTCCGACGCTTTTGGTTCAACCAAGAAATCGTCGTCAGACCGGTATTGAAATCGTGATGACTATTCATAAAAGCTTCCGAGACGTCGTTGCATATTTTTACCAAGTTGGCTGCCGGTTTGCTTATGTCTAAGTTAGACGGTAGCCGAGTGGTTTATGTGCATATAGCAGTTGTGTTTGGGTTAGTCATTTCTGTCAGGTCGGACTACACTTTCACCTTACTAATTGGGTTTTTTTTTCTAGTATGCCACATACGAGGATGACTTATCGCTTCTGTATAAACGTGACCTTTAATAATAAGCCCTTTTCTGCTATTCGTACCAGCAGACAAATTAGGAAAGACGTCACTCTCACATAAGATACCAATTCCTGCATTGTTCGGCGTCGTCATCACTATCTGCTTTCTATTTCAATCTAAGGAGGAAAATCGCGGCTGCGCAGTCAACGGTAAAATGTTACCCTATAGAGAGGCTACGTAGTATTTTTGCCTAGTAAATTTATTTCTTTTATTTTATTGAGTTTCTAAAATGGCTGAAACGTACATCAGCGGGCTCACGCATGCGCGAGGTTCATACATTATAAATTTATATGCACAGTGGCTGATCTCAGGCTGAGGCTTACACGTTGTTGTGCAGTGCATTGCATTTCTAACAAAGCAACGACAATTCCATTTCTTCCTATAGCCTTACAAAATAGAATCCTGTGGCCTTTCGCCACATAAAATTATTATAGCCAGTCTTTCCAGTGGTGGTCCTTATCAGTCTCATCGACTAGAGAAGTGGAAAAGCACAACTAACGCATTGTCCAATGTTATTCCTTCCGAGTAGTTGATGGTCACTGACCTTGCCTATGACCTTGCCTAGAATCCTTTTGAAGTATAAAATCGTTGACTGAATTTAATTCGATACCGTTTTTAGAGGGCAACAACAAGCAGGGTCGTCTCGTATGGCATAGTGTCGAAGGCACTCTTTAAGTCACTATATGTGATGTTAACAAGAGATTTTCACTTATAGCAATGATATTCTAAAACTCTAACGGACAGTTTACCGCTTATCGCCGTTCCTTCGCCATGTTTTATGTTAAAGAAATACACCTTTGGCGCTTCGCGCTGAAGACTCTTTTTACGTAGGTCATTCATTTCGTCATCTTGAAGATAATAGAAATCAAAACGATTGGACACCTATTTGCTATCGCCTTTGCATGCGGATACACTTCACACTCTTTGATACGTTTTAGCTGTTCGATCGTCCCTTAACGATCTGGAAGAAAAGATCTGAGAGATCTCCCACCGCGCTTTTTTGAAAAGAACCGCTAGAAAATCTTCAAGACTCTAACTGCGTTTATCGGATAAGCTGCCATCATGGTTCCGGGCGTAGAACAGCTCTTGCACATTCTGCTATGGGCGCGGCTTCTTCACTGGTCTTCTCAAAAGGCTTATATATCTATAAATTTGTTTTATTAGAATTTCCGCTTCATAAGCGTATACTCACTGCTTCTTCCGCTACTGCACTGCCATAACTACAGACGAGCGCTGGTTTCTCATGGTGAATATAATCGTATGAAAATACTATCAAGGAAAAAAATATGGATATGCACGCCCCGTACCTTTATATCAGCATCGAACATGGTGGACACGTTGGCCATGGACAGCTCGACGAGGAACTCGCCTGTTTCGTCAGCGAACCTGTATGTTCAATCAGTAACAAAAGGTTATCAATGCTTGCAAGTGATCTCAGCATGTAAAAATAAGCCAATTCTACCTGTTTTTTTTTTTTTTTTTTTTTTTTTGTAGAGAAGATCTTCTTAAGAGTATTCGATTAAAGAACGCTCGCACTCGTAGGTGTGTCAGTGAAGTTAGCATTATACAACATCTCGCTGTCGCTAGATCAATAGTATACAGCAATGTGTCATGAAGGTTTTCACAGTGAGTTATCCCAGTTATCTAATAGTTCAGGTGTTTAAATTAGAGAAAAAAAAGTTTGTGTTGAACCTTCTCTCGGCCAGCTCCGCCAGGGGCAACCATTTGGCCGCGCCGTGCGCAGGCGAGTCGACTGTGAACGGCGTCTGTTTTTCGGATAAGCTTTCATTACGAGAGAAATGCTCCCGATTCAGTAATGTCAACGTAAAGTCCACACAACACCTGCAACGATAATTGTAGTTAAGGGTTTAATGTGTCACACAACAGGCGCAATGTAAAATATGAATAAGCCTTGGGCGCCTGCTGTTAGTGCTATGATATTTTTCCATAATTCTCCTGGAGCGTTCTTAAAAACGACCTATTTAAAGCAAAAACAAGCTTTGCAATTACTCTAAAATTCAGCTACTTTGCCCTTCAAAATCTATTTATGCTGCACACTGAAGCAGAGGAGACATGAGAGTTGTAACGACACCCCTCTTTTAGATTAAGCTGATGTTTCAAGCGCGATAGTTCACTCTTGGCTCAGTTTCCAGGATCTCATAACATATCTAAAAATAGAGCTATGTATGTTCGCTGCTCTAGCCGCCTGTCGATTGCTTTGGATTTTTTACACTTGAAAACCAACTCTACATCGCCCAATTTCTGTTCCCATACGAAGGCGCACATGTGAAGGTAAGAACAGGGGCAGAGCTAACACACGTCAGTTCACTGGGCGATGAAAGCAGAGAACTATTTGCTACCAGCGGCCTCGACGAAACGTAAAGCAACTTGCTGCAATAATTTTGGCGTGCAGAAAGAGGCACCAAATGGAACATGTGCGCAAATACATAATGGACATAGAAAATAACTGGGGTTTACTGCAGGCTTAAAAACCAAAAAGAAAAAACGGCACTAGTGGAGGCTGAGGAAATCGTGTTGGTTCGCCGCAGTCGTTTTTACTCGTCAAACTGATTTTATTAACAGGGGTACTTCCTGCAATCGCACTGTAACTAAATTCTTTCTTTGCATCTTGCAGTATATTATCATTCGGAAAGTGGGTTTAGAAACCGGAAACTGGGAAGCAGATATCCAATGAAGTTGAGGTGACTAAGCTGCGTATCGAAAACGAAGTAAGAGATCCAAAGAATAATATTATATATATATATACATAGGTGTATTGATGTATATGCATGCATTGTTCTTGCCGGAACGAATACAAAGATAAATGCAGGCAGGGGTAACAGCATTAGGCTTCCAGGTGAGAAATAGATAAGTAGGTTTACAGCTCAATCAGGTTTAATTTGCAGAGTACTTTAGGCTGGATTTTTTGCTCAACTATAAGCCTACGCCTGACACAAGTAAAACCTCGATTCCGTCCTTCCTTTTCTCAACATATTTGGTCAGTAGGTTTCAGAGTAAGTCAGAAGTTAACAAGGTAATGAAACTTAGCTTAGCGAACTCTATTGATTATCCGTACTTCAGTATTTTGTATGCTTATACGCTTCTGGTAATACCTACGTGTATTGATCTTAAAACGTTGCAAATGTTGGCTCACCTTGAGCTTTGCGCGGGATTCCGGATCACCAAGAACACTCCGAGAGTTTTTTCAGTTCGGACAAACGACAACGCCCACCGGTGATACCTGAAACATGAAAACAACCGTTGGATAGACTCCTGCCAGTTACAGGATGGATCAGGAGGAGATGATGTCGAGTTCTATTTTCTATTCATTTTTGTACCACACATCAAATATTATTAGTAAACCACTGCTATAAATTTATTCGACGGACAAGTTCAAGCCCCAAGGAATCTGGCAACGTCTGCGCTCGAAACATTCTAAAAGTTGACTTTTCATAATGTTTTATATTCGAAGAAACACTGTACCCATTAAGTTTCGCCTACAGTTTATCATATTTCGTCATATATATATATATATATATATATGTATATATATATATATATGTATATATATTGTCATTATGCTAGTTGGCTCCCGAAGTCTGGTCAAGTACCATAACGTATAAATGCTAATAGTCAGTGTCTAAGCGCCAATCTCCACGGGTGTCCTGAGTCGTTTGTTGTCATGACAGCCTAACAGATTTTACTCATAACCCTAGTCTAAAGAGGGCATGAGAAGATTACATTTCACGTTTATAACAATCATCTTCCATCAATCAGCACCGGGCATTGATTAGACGTCGGGTTACGAAGCTGAGTATGGACGTAACCGCCTCTATCATACGATGGCTACTTGTGTAACAGTTAAACAAGATGGCCTTGCGTGCACTCTGAAGTGAGCGGAATAACTGCTGCTAGAGTTATCAGCGCAATTAACTTTGAAGTTTACTTTGTATAGTACGATATGAGGTACGTACATAATACAAATTATGATCGGGAGAGATATGTATCTAACCGGCAATGGCGTTGTTCGTCGATTAACATAATAAAGGGATAGACCGCAAGAACGAAGTTTATCGATTCGTGACAACGGTTAGCCTGCTGATGAACTAAGCGGGAATGTTGCCTTCGAAATTTGCTTCACGACGAGAAACGCCAAACTTACCTTCGCACTGGTGTTGCCAATAAGAAATTGATGCACTCTTCAGCCAACCAAACCCAATGCTACGTTGATATACAATTATGTGACAGAGGAAATTAAACTGATTGAAGAAATGAACTCTGGCTATAATAAACTGGCTCGTCGTTGGCGTAATTCGAAGTACGGCTTCTCGGCCGGAAGTAGCCTATTGGCCAAGGCTTACGTCATCCACGGTGTCGATACCGCCCACGTCAACGTTCGCAACAGCGTCAGCCACAGCTTGTATAATCAGCCCAAATTTTGCACCCCTTCCAGCCTGCGGGCTGAGTCGTTCAGCGACCGCATTGTTGATACATTTGCCGGTCAGTATTAGCTAGCCAGCCGCCTATCAACGTTTCGGAAACAACAACGAGTGGATCAAACTGCAGTATCACCAGCTTAAGCAACGTATCACGCCATTCGACAATCACAGATACTCCATGCCGATATGCAATAAGGATCGAACGGACATCTCAATGCTATCATAGCACGAGGCGGATCTAAGCGACAAGCAGAACCTACTAGGAAGAGTTTAAAAAAATCGATATTTCTGTTGTTTACCCCCTCCCGGGGTGCGTGCCTTATTTTCGACCAAGGATGATCAGAGGTACGCTGGCGGGCGGTACTACTCCTAGCGCAAGCTATCTGACCGACTGGCTAATGTGATCAGCAATTTGACCAACCGAATCCGTACAATGGCATGCACCAAAGCCTTTCCATCCTAGCGTATGCCTGTATAGTTCATTATCACGTTTGAAACAATCATCTGTTCAATACCGATCCGCTCGATACATGTTAGGTTTCGGCAATATGCCGATACCGCCTATATATGTGGATAGCCATCTCGTTATCGTCACGTACTATCTATGTGGAGGCGTATGTTTGTTCCAAACGGAGCAGAATGTTATTATTTTCTTCCTCTTATATTCGCGCAGTTGTCGATTAATACTTCTGAAAGATTACGTTATTTGGTTCACACCAACTAGAATCGAAAGAGGAATGCGATCAGGATGTCTTCGCTTTATAGCCCACAGAAGCGATATTATCTTCCTAATTATACTATAATTACCAAACCAAAAAATTAAGCAAGGTTCGTGCATTTTGGATAGCACTCGGCCGAAGGTCGGTCGATCATTACCATCAGAGTAGGATCGCCCGGTACGTCTGGTTACTGGCGCTTATTTCTATCTCTAGCCGATCAAGCCTCTAGCTGAGAAAGCGAGGGGTCGATGGTTCAAGGCGCGCGATATCTTCATGGCTTGATTAAAAAAAAAAAAAGAAACTTTACTGCTATATAGTGTTAAGGAGCTCAGTAGGTTGGTAACTGGTGCCGCGCACTTAATTGCATCCCATGCTGACCTAGAACTTCTGCAGGTTGATTAGAATCTTCAAAGATGGTGAATTGTCTAGAGCTTGAATGTTGCGTTCGTGTCGATAGCAGTATTAGTAGTAGCCTGCCTCTAGCCGTTGGGAGATAGCAGACTTTATTGTCAAAATTGTTAACTTTTCTAAGTTCATGTAAGCTCTTGACTTTATGATAGCCAAAGAAAATAAGATTAAACGTTGTGTTACTATTATTATTATTACTTAAATAGATTTTACTATTATGTCTGAAGCGAAATAACACTAACACATGTACCATTTATTGCGCCCCGTTAGCGATGCATTGGCTTCCCATTAACTAGGCAAGAATTTGGCAGTCTTCAGACAATTTGCAATAGTTTTGCTTGTTTAGGGATACTTCAAATGAAGAAATTTCCAAATAGTTTTCGAGCGTCTTAAAGATAACAGCGTTCTTTTTTTCCAATTATTACTTATGAGAAACTGACTGAGAAGCTCGTCTCGAACAGCACTCCAACAGGATATTGCCATAGTATAACGTTCTATAAATAGCGGAGTAATTCTTACAGATATAGCGAACTAGGTAGGCATGTGAAATTTGTCTACATAATACACTTCCTGGACGAGCATTTAGGTAGGGCTAATTATAAAATGTACCGAGATAATAATACTTACGGTAAGCACAATCCTCGTGAATGTCACTATTCGTGTTTCGCGAACCGTGTTTAATATGGTATCTTAAAACTTGTCCCTTCTATGAGACAAACACTGCATCGTCGAACAAGCGTAGTTTGTAAGTCAGTATATAAATTCAAAACAAACAAGGTAGGCCGTTGTAAGATGCTACTTACCCGTGCGCAAAGTCTTTCGTGACAGCGTCACGATGGATGTCTCTTGTTACCGTTCGTGTCACGATAAACGTGAAGATGCCTGCAAAGGGATTATATAATAATGTAATGGTCAACCACAACATCGAACCACCTGCGATCTCCGCTGCAGGTGCCCCGCTTGTAGCTGTTCTTTTTTCATATTGTCGTTTCTTAATACCTTGCGCATACAAGTTATGCTAAGACTGCATTGCGTGTTATCAAATCACACTGCCTCTAAGGCGCAAAATAGGTACGGTAACATCCACTGACAAAGTGTCATCAGGTGACCTTTTTGTAACAGAAGCGTTTAGAAAAATATAAAAAAAAGGCGATAAGCCGAGTATTTGGGAATACGAACACTAGTGAATGAGACGTATCAAGATACTTCTTTACTAGACTTTATTTTTGTTTAAAGCTTTTTTTGCAAATATCTGTAAAGGAGGGCGTTACGCCATCTGCAGCATCTATTTCTAAAGCTGATGGCAAGAATATCACGCAAATAATTTATAGCTCGATATTGTGTCAGTATATATAGGTTAAGATTCTTGAAACTGTTTAAATTTGGAATAAATAAAAAACGATTGTCGACGTGTATGACGATGAGGGACCAACGCTGGTTTTGTTCTCCCGACATTGTGTGTATGCTTATACTAAAGAAGAGGGCAAACTCACTCATAGTTGTGTAAACAAACATTACTCTAGACGTAATACACTCACCAGTATTGGACCTATCGTTGAGTCTCGTAAATCGGTAGAGGAGTGCCATGGCGACTGACGGACAGTGATTTCGTAGGAAAATTTCTTGAGGAAGGCAATGAAGAACGACAATTTGATCTTGGAAGTGTTTGATTGTCCTAATTCCTGGCTAGATTCCAGCTAGAGGTATAGTAAGTAGCAGATCAAGAAAGTGTACTCTGAAAGGAATGTACTACAATATCTATTTCTATAGGTAGCAGTTTCTATTCAATTTTTCTCGTGTTTTATGTTGCTTGGCTCTGGGACTACTCAGCTGTTCTTCTTCTTGCAAGATTTTCAGTTCTTTTGAAAGTTCTAATATTCGTTGATAATCCTATTTGCTCGTTCTGCTGCAGAATCCGCTTCAGTTTGGTGAAGGGCTGATTCTCAGAGCAGTCTCCTAGGCTGAAATGGGTTGCGGATCTGGACAGCCACTCAGTACCGAAGATACCTTCCAGGCGATCCTCTACTGGGCATTGTCATTTCTAATTTCAACTGCTGATCGCGCGCATCACATTGATGGCTTGCGAAGTACGGTGTAATAATACGTGGCACCAGGTGAATGCTTGGCAGTTATTACTGCCAAAGCGGGGTGCCACTGCCCGAATAGCAGTTGTACGAAGCGTAACAAGGCGAACGTGTAGTTCAGACTGAGATTCAACGATAGGATCCGATCAGTCTGACACCATTCAGAAATGCGTCTACTCGGGAGCTCTTGCCCGTTCCTGTATACCTTACCTTACCTTAGTCCTACATAACACAAATACTGCGGGTATTAGTAGTTCGAAATATTGACAGTCGCGTTTTCTTGCTTTACATTGCACGAATGACTTTCTCATCATTCATATGGGTGTTTGGCATATTCGATAGGTTTGCGGTTGACGCTCTGTTACAACCCACGAGCTAACAGTGGTCACCTGGAATCAAATCACATCTGTGTTAGTTGAATTAGACTTGGCCACCTGTATATGAGTTATTGTAGTTGACGGGTCACAATTCTTAGCTTGCGATTAGAAATACAACTTTAATATTTAAAAACCTTCTGATAGATACCACTAATCCTAATGCTGACCTTTTTCATCAATTTAGGTTATCTAAAATCAGTGTTTAGATGTTTGTTCTCTGCTCAGTATTTACATTAAAAAATAAAGTTTATGACAACCCAGTAGATGTGACTTCGTACATTAATCAAGCACAAATCGTCGATAACTACGTCATGCTTTCTAGTTTAGTTCCTAGCAAGATAAATAGTACATTGCGTTAGCAATTTGCGAGGACCGAAATTTTCTTTTATGATATGTTAGCTTGTTGGCCTAATGTATGGTTTCCAAATTTACGACAATTAATCTCGACGGCACAAAACAACCTAGCTTAATTGCGCCTTATCCCTGCTGCACACTAACTGCCTTTTTAATATTGAATATTTAAAGTGCGACCGAGGCAGATATTCTGGCACGTCATGAGGTTTTCGTCCTTTGCTCGACCCTGCATCTACTTGCGCCCTTATTCCCTCTTTCAGTATGGATGTGGGATCTTCCCAGCAACTATACCCACTATACTACTCTTCACGCTATACTAGGGGGCATCTTAGCCCAACGTGTACCGTTTCTATCTTTTTTTCCCTACTGAGGTCGCTTCTCGTATATTATATATACACATAAAACGTGTAGAGAATCATAAGATTCTACAAGTTCTAGTCACCTAGCCCCCGTCAAAAAGAGTGGTACGAAGTGCTGCACGGGATCAAAAAGGCACTCCGCAAGCAGGTTACAAGCTAATTGATGCAAGCCTACGATGACGGAGTGGAGATAGAGCAAGAAGAAGGCATAAATACAGAACTATGCTGTCAAGCCCTTTTCGTCTGCTCCTAGGTCTGCTGGAAAGTCGGTTGTGAGTCAAAAACTGCTTCCCAGTTTCTCATACTTACACCAGCCGCCTGCAGAATTATGGCCTGGCTTCCAACTGATGTCACAAGGAAACCGTCAGAACCCACCAAACGTTCACTGCTCTCAAGCTATCCGAGCAAAACTGAGTCGACAGCCGTGTTTGCCTGGGGATATTACGCATTTAGTATATCTACCTGCTTTTCCGTTCCAACAAAAAAAAAAAACGCTAACGCACAAAGCGAATGGGAGAGCAGCCCAGAAATCGAACGAAGGATACATCACACCATATTTGCGGTAGCAAGATGAGTATAAAATTACGTGTTTAAATATAATGTCCTCATTTGACAGGCAAGGCCTGTTGGAACGTTATATTGAACATGTTTCGATAAAGATTCGTAAGTGACATCATTAAATTCAGAGTCTGGGTTCATTAGTCGAGCTTACAAATTCCGTGAGTCGCCCAGCTATTTTACATAAGTGCATATCTATGCTTGCAATTCCTATAATTAGTCCTCTAAAACAGCAGAACTGTTACATTCTGAGTGCAGCGTAGCTTTTAGTATACATTCAGGTTCGCTATAAAGCACTTACACAACTTTGACGTTTAGGATGACACTGTCGATAGCAGAACTACATATGAAATTTTATTTCTTTCATTTCGCACGCAATACAAATACTAAATGCTATTTACTCCATAGGCGTTGGATATATATATATATATATATATCCAACGCCGTAACCCATTTAAACAAGGAAATGTATCGAAATTGTAAAAAATAAACATCGGTTTAAATAACATATCTACTCTGTGTGAGATCTCCTTTTGTCATTATATAATTACCCAGTTTAAGAACAAATTTAATAACGTCACGATTTCCCTCAAAATTGACATCTCTGGTTAAATTTTCCGCCAGGCTATAATATGTTAACCGACCCGGTTTAGGACGGGCTTACCATTTGCAGTCGATCCTATTATAATGCTAACAACTAACACAATGCTCTTAACACAAAGTACAACGAAAAACAGCTTCGGAAGCGTTGATCAATTCAATTCCCCAAAACGTGCATGGACAATGAGTGGAGATGAAGTATGTACATGCGGAGCTGGTTCTCTCTATTGTTTCGAGTCTACAGTGTATACTTATTTTAGCTAATGAACGCAATGGACAGATCTACTGTGGGTAGGACCATGGCCGACATTTATCTGTGATCAAACGACGCGTTACATTATATCGACTCGTCACCTAGTTACGAGTCTTCGTATTTAATGGTACACTGTGTACAAAAAATGCTATCTCCAAATGTAGTATTGTGTTTAAAAACTTACGCTATCGTTATGTACGTACATTGCAAATATGCGGTAGCTAGCCCTGGACGAAGCTAAGGGCGAAAGTAGCCTCCAATTCTGTTATTGCCGGTGCCTTCCTGCATCTTTATAAATATTCTACGATAACGACAGCAGCTGCATCAACAACGTCGACGGCTAGCAACACCTATGCTTTTATGTATCGGAACTCAGGGCTCAAGCAGTGATACTGCTTTTGCGGGCTCCTACACCTGGTAGTGCTTTAACCATCTGTTCGGCTACGTCTAACGACCAGTAGCCGCTCGAATCATAGAATACGAACCTAGCACACGGTCGAGGGTCCGAAAGTAGATAGAGATGAAAGTGAGCTAACCAGAATAAGAAGTGGAGGGTATTTGAGCTCTTCTTTCTTCCTTTGACGATAAGGAAAGCAGCTGGAAGAGTCGACATGATAGCTGAAGGAAGAAAAGGGGCTCAGAAAAGCGCACGAAGGTGATCAGCAACTGAATGCGAAGGCCCCCGAACAATGCGATGGGTAACCAAAGACAGGAAGGAAGATCAGCTGCAGCCAACAACGAACAGCTAAGAGGAGCACCGATATCGGCAGCGTTCTTAGCAGCTTTGCCTGGGCAGCCTGTTATTCGAATACAGATATGTTAGGCCGTTTGCTCGAGGGTCTGCTGGCAGGTAACACTGCTGAGGACAGACACCTCCGGTGTACAGTCTCTCAAGCTACATCGGCGTGATCCAGGCTATGTGTGCCAGGCCTTTCTCAGATCCTCGGGGAGAATGCTTGGTAAAAGGTTATGGGATCGCAACGTCTTCGTCCTTTGCTGTCCCTCTTGCGCGGTTTTTTGCGGCTTCATTTTCTATTTGCACCGCAGGAAGTACCTTCATTTTGACACGAAGAGGATTCAAAGAAGCTCCAACCGTGATCGACCTACAGCTCACTTGCGGTTGCTTTGGTTCTACGCAGCATCGATGTGAATGACGTACTCCGTCAAGCATGTCTTTGGGAAAGTTAGCCTTCATCCTGCCAGGAGATAGACACTTTTTCTGCGTCTGCCGCCTTATCTGTCTGTTTCTATGAGCTTGCTATTTTTGTTTGACCTCGTCACACCACAATGCTTTGTCTGGCTGGACAACACTATGTCATGACAGAACATCTGATAAAAGTAGGTTTAGCTGCTAACTACTTTCCCACTAGATTCAGCCGCACATATTAGCTAAGCTGTTCATCATGTAGATTCCATATAGAAAAATTACTATATTTCGTACTGAACGTAAGTACGGCATCGAATACAGGTAGACTAGTACCATTTTCTGTTTCTTTTTAAAGTAAATTTTTATTAAAAATTTAGAATAAAAGAGCTGACGTTTATTATATTCAATTATACAAATTATCCTGGAGCCCTTCCATACTTTCTTATTTTTATTTTCTTACTTATTTTCCTTGTAGGAATCATCGTCCTCTTCTAATTTGCAATTACTATACAGACGATCGCGTATTTCTTATTTTTATTTACGATTGTGTTTTGAAGTTGAGACAGTTCATTTACTAAATGCCGTTACGATAACACACGCCTACATCAAACCAGCCTGCGTCTGTAAGCATGTTTTTACATCTCATTTTTTACATGTTGAAGTTAACCGGTTTAAATTATATACTCTGTACGAAATTTTCAGATGTTTTCGTTTAGAGTCAGATAATCGGATCTGTGTCACTTTCATAAAGATCGTTTTCCTTGGGCTAAATCAAACGTGTTTTACCTTAGTTAAGTCAGTTACATTTCTCCAAAGTTGACTAGCATTTTTTATATAATAAACTAATAAAAAAATTAGTGCATAAGTACTAGAAAAATAGCACGAATGTATCTGAACACGCATTGTTACACGCATGCTATAACAAGTTTAAGACGACTTACTTGTACTAAACCTGAAATCGTTAAGTCAGTTTTAGATAAGTTACAGGTTCGGGCAGGGTACTTGATGTAATATTAGAGTTTTTAAATACACTTGCTGTATATCAATTATTTTTAGTCTTATTATGGGAAATTAGTTATCACCGCTTTTAATAAAGCTATCACAGCCTTATGTGCTACCTCAGGGTAACTAACTCCTTCTTATCTGTTAAATTCATATCTGTAATGCTATTCCAACTCACCGTAAGCGCAGCTATGAATATTTATAGCTTAGAGGCATGAATACGCTAACGTAGGTAAGTTTAGGCTGTTAGGCAAGGCTCCAACCAAGCATATACCTACTTAAGTATAAATTCCTATGTAACAAACTTATCGGATCTCATCAACTTGTAGCCGTAATATGGGCTTATCCATGTCTGAGTATTGCATGATATTAGTACGTTGCCGCTATAACTCTGAGTCTAAACCTGAAGACAAAAAGTTGTCTGAATTCGCTGATGAGTAAGACCAATTCTGAATGCCAAACTATTTTCCTATCCCTCTAATTGAATAGCTTCTGGTGTGGTTTCATACACGAGTAACCTTACATCAAACAATAATCCTTTTGAATAACTGACGTAAGCAAACACTTCCCCTCTAGAAAGGCGAAAATCGCCCAAAGCTTCGTGGTTATATCGTGTATATATATATATATATATATATATATATATATATATATATATATATATATACACGATTTTAAACAGTAATTTTTTTCAAATCATGGCTTATCTTAAAATTTCCGTGGACCAACTTCTCGCAAT